GTGAGAACAAAGCCCCTTTGTGCCTCTTGGACTCAGTGCTGGTCTCCGCTATCTGTGTCAGTCAACTGCACACAGGGAGCAGCCTTTGGGTCTGGGCTGGTTTGCCGCCCATAGGGAGAAGCCTCTTTGCTAAGCTGTGTGGTTGCTGTAGACAGGCCTGCTTCCCAGCTGTTCCACACCAATGGCGTGTCAGCTGGTTGGCTTGCAGTGCCAGCAGGGGAAAAGGAACAGCAGGCTGCTCATCACCGTGAGCAGGTTTGGAGCTGCGTTGCCACCCAGGGGGTTAGGGTGCCTGAAGTTCCTTAAAGTTCCCAGCCAGCTGGGGTGGGTGTGCCAGGACGATTTTTCCACCTGTTAATCCTTTGTCCCTTAAAGACTTTTAAAGCATCTGCTTTTCTTTTGTCCCAGGACAGCCAGCTGTGGGAACCTGTTTGCAGTTTCAGTCTCGGACCGGGCTTTTCTGTTCTTCCAATATCCTCCTGTGCACCATGCAATGTGTGTCTGTGCTCCCGGGGCCGACCACCAGAGCTGGTTATTTAGCATTCCTGTACCTCCACTGCCTTCCCACTCTGATTCCCTTCCTCCCACTGGTGTGCTGGGGTGGGGGAAGTGCTCAGGTTCTAGTTGTATTTGCTGTATTTTCAAAATATATATGGTTTTGGGAGGAGATTTCTATTGCCCTTCTCACACTGCCGTCTTGAGAATCTCCTCTTCAGTTTTTCATGTTTTCTCCACAAGCATCTTTGTCTTCTGGTTTTCCTTGTCATTGATACTCTTCCTTTGCTCGATTGAACCCATCCTATTCTGTGTGATTGCCCTCCAACCTGAATATACCACTCCTGTAAAATCTTCCATTCTCTGTTTACTTTTTCTCAAATTCATATCTTCAACTCTGATCATTCTGAAAGTTTTATTTATAAAGTGCTGAATAATTACATGTCTGTTTATTTATAGTTTTTCTCCATTTTTTCCACATTTTTTCTCACACAAACTAGGTAGGGAAAAGGCACTTTGATCCTGAGAAACTACTGAAACCTAAAGTTAAATATATAAGGGGACCCTTGTGTCTCAGTCCAAATTTTTTTGAAATGTTTTAAAATTTAGGTGTGAAGTCCAGATTCTGTGTGAGCCGAGAACTATCTGTATTTGTATATAGTGTGGTAGAATGCCACATTTTCCTTCCTCGAAGTATGCAACATGGCATAGTTTTCTCAGACAAGCTGTTCAATCTCTGCCACTTATTATTTGTGTGATCTAGGTACTCATTTCATCTCTGTGGCTCAATTTCCTCATCTGCAAAACAGAGATAATATTACCTTCCTCACAATTACTGAACTTGGACTTTCTGTTATTAGAGATAGGAGCATTTATGATCAGAACTTGAATATTAGAAATGAAATTGTCTATCAGTCCATTGTATGAAAGGAATTTCAGGTTCATAAATTGATACAAGAAAATTCTTCTTAGAACTTAGTATTTTATCTGGTTTGTTTTCCTCTAAAACATATGAAACAAATGTGTTTAAATTAAACTGAATAATCTAATTTATTTGATGTTAGATTAGACTTTTGGCCCCTCCTTGTTGTTGCTTGATTAAATATGGTGTGAAGTGAAGATCCAACTTTTTATTTTTCCAAATGAATAGCCAGTTGGCCTTTCACCACCTGATTCATTCTCCCTTAATTCACTGATTTGAAATCCCATTTTTATTGTGTACAGAACTATCCTTTGGCATGGGTATTGCATTTGTAGGCTCTGAATTCCTGTCCACATTATGCTATTGCTGGTACATAACCCAGATGGGCCAATTCATAAAGCACCACCCACCTAGTCCCACACTGAAGATTTCATTGATGAGTATTTGACCTGAGTTGAGCGAATGAGAGATTTTTCTAGGGATTTTTGTAATTGGAGGTGTTAAATTCCAGGTATGCGATGTCCCTGGAATAGCTATATTAAGAAAATGCATTTGTAGTAAGAGAAAATAAAATTAATATGTTGAGAAATGCAGAAAAGTAAAGAGAAGCTTGATAGTGAACAGGCTTAAGAAGTGTTCCAGTCAAGAATACTCTGTCTGCCAGTTATCTTTCAGATATGAAGAACACATAAAGGCTTTGCCAGACAGAGGCTGAGGGAGTTCATCATCCCTGGTCATGCTTGCAAGATATGCTGAAAGGAGTTCTTCAAGATGAAGTGAAAAGATACTTATCAGCAACACGAAAGCATGTGAAAGTACAAAATACACTGGTAATGGAGAAAAATGGACAGTCAGACTTAGAGAAGTGTAACTATATGTTAGGATGGTGTGTTAACCACTCAACTATAGTATAACATTAAAGTAAAAGATTAGTGAAAAGAACTTTAGCTACTGTAAAACTACTATTTGTGATTTTTACATGTGTGTGTGAATGTATGCATCCTGTATTTGAAAAGAAGGACATACAGCATGGAAATGTACAGCATTTTATGTGAATCATATATTATTTGACAGGATACCTGAAGTCCTTAATAGGGAAAGCCACTGTAAGAAGGAGACAGTGATTTTTATGAGAGACTATTCAAAAACATGAGCATGTGATTTTCCCCATCTCAGTGGATACCTCTGGGTGCCCAAGCCAGAACCCTGGAATTCCTCCTCCACTGCTTTTCTCTGTGAACTTCAACAATTAGTCACCAAATATTTTTCATTTCAACTCCTAAAATATCTAACATGTGTGTTCTCTTCTCCTCCATGATCCACATCACTTTGCTCTTGGAATGACTGCAACAGAGTCAGCTGTGTTCTTCCATCCAATTTTGTTTCCTCCCCATCTACCAGTAGTCAGAATGAGTTTTCTATGATATTCTACATTCACTGAAAACTGTTTGTGGTGTCCCCTACCCTGAGACCAAGTCTGAATCAATTAACTTGCATTATAAGTTCACCTTGACTCATTTCTGTTTATTCTCTGCTTTGTATCACTGTGTATGATACTCCAGTTATTGTGAATTTCAGTGGTTCTAGTAACATTTTGTCATCTCACAATTTGTGCCTTATCCTGAACACTTCCTTTATTAAAACCAACATAATGGTTTTGGATAATATTCATGGTGATATATGTAGCTCTAACTGATAATTTTTAGCTTTTTAGGCTTTATTTTTTTAAAGTAAATTATTCTGTTGAAAGAAGCTTTTTAGTTTGGTGTGGTACCACTTGATTTTTTCGTTTATTGCTGTGCTTTTGGTGTCATATCCAAAAAATTGCCAGATTAACATGAAAATGGCATCTTCCCTGTTTTCTTCCATGAATTTTATGCTACCAGATCTTATGTTTAAGTCTTTAATTCACATCAAGTTAATTTTTGTGACTGGTGTTAAGGGTCCAGTTTCATCTTAATGCATGTGGTTATCTAGGTTTCACAGAACAATTTATTGAAGAGACTATCCTTCCCACATTGAGGGTTATTGACTACCTTGGTAAATATTAGTTAACTATGCAAGGGTTTATATCTGGGCTCTTGATTCTAGTTCCATTGGTCTGTGTGTCTTATTTTCATGACAGTACCATACTGCCTTAGTTACTGAAGCTTTGTAGTAGAGTGTGAAAACAGGAAGTGTGATGACTCCAGCTTCATTCTTTGTCATGATTAACTTAGAGTATTCTGTGTCTTTTGTGGTTCCATGCACATTTCAGTATTGTTTTTTTCTATTTATGTGAAAAATGCTGTTAGATTTTTGATAGAATTGCATTGAATATATAGATGGCTTTGGTTAGCTTTAACATTTTTTAAAAATTGAGATACAGTTGACATATAACATTTCTCAAATATTAGACAAAAAATATAATGATTTGATATATGTATATTTTGCAAAATGATTACCAGACTATGGGTAACATCCATCACCACATGTATTTAATTTTTTTCTTGTGATGACAACTTTTAAGATCTACTCTTTGCAACTTTTAAAATACCTATAGTTACTGTGCTCTACATTACATCCCTAGGACTTAGAATGCCTTTGTAGAGTACATAATATGTTAAAAATCAGAGAGGAAAAAAAATACAAAAAATTGTTGAAATTCTTATAGGAATTTTGTCAAAGAACATTGAGCCTTTCTATAAAAGGGTGTATCTCCATTTATTCAAGTAATTTTAATATCACAGAGGATATTGTATAAATGAATATTTCCCTTTGGATTGTGTCTATTTTCAGATTTACCCACAATTTTTTTAACCTATTTTATTGAGATAAAATTCACATAAAACAATTCACTGTATTAACCATTTTGAAGTGTACACATGTCTTTTAGTACATTACAATATTGTACAACTGTTATTACTAATTACAGTTCATCAACCCAAAACCAAACCTTATATTCATTAAAGTCACTTCCTATCCCATCATTCACCTAGCTCCTTGGCAACCTCTATTCTATTTATTTATTTTTTTAATTAAGGTATTATTGATATACACGCTTATAAAGGTTTTGCATGAAAAAACAGTGTGGTTACTACATTCACCCATATTATCATCTCTCCCCGTACCCCATTGCAGTCACTGCCCATCACTGTAGTAAGATGCCACAGAGTCACTATTTGCCTTCTCTGTGCTACACTGTCTAGCCCATGATCCCCCCACACCATGTGTGCCAATCAAAATACCCCTCAATCCCTTTGTCCCTCCCTCCCTCCCGACCTGCCCTCCTCCACCCCTCTCCTACCCCTCTCCTTTGGTAACTGCTAGTCCCTTCTTGGAGTCTGTGAGTCTGCTGCTGTTTTGTTCATTCAGTTAATTTGCCTTCTCTGTGCTACACTGTCTAGCCCATGATCCCCCCACACCATGTGTGCCAATCAAAATACCCCTCAATCCCTTTGTCCCTCCCTCCCGACCTGCCCTCCTCCACCCCTCTCCTACCCCTCTCCTTTGGTAACTGCTAGTCCCTTCTTGGAGTCTGTGAGTCTGCTGCTGTTTTGTTCATTCAGTTTTGCTTCGTTGTTATACTCCACAAATGAGGGAAATCATCTGGCACTTGTCTTTCTCCGCCTGGCTTATTTCACTGAGCATAATGAGATTTACCTACAATTTTCGTTCATTGCTTTCATGATTTTCATGAATTAGCCTTCTTGCCCCTCACCCTTTTCTTTTCCTGAGAAAATAGCAGATGGTGTCAGATACTATTTTATTTTATGGCTAGGACCTATTTCCTAATATTTAAAAAAGTAAGATTGACCTTCGGTTCCTTTGTCAGAATTGGTCCCTGGCTGCACATAGAGCTTGGCTGGTATCTATAACTTTTGGGCGGCCACTGGTGGGCTGTGAGCAGCTTGGGGAACTATCGCAGACACCAAATTCCCAAGCGCTGGGGAAGACTACCTTCTTGGCCGGTGATGGGGCTGGCTAGTCACAGACTTCTGGGATGCGGAGCCGATAAGGGCAGCTCGCCGGCCCTGCGGTTGGGCCTCTGCGCATGCCTGGTGCCGCCTTTTGCGCATGCCTAGTGCCACCTTCGGCCTCTGCACCTCCGCCTTCTTCTGTTTCCTCAGGCCTCGCGTGGGAGGCTCTGCTGGGTCGGCGCGTCCATGACCTCTTCTGGGGCAGTGCCACACGACAAACGAGCGGCTGGTGTGCCCCAGAAAGTTGGACGACGGCTGAGGGGAGCCCCCGCGGCTCGGACGACGAGCGATAGGGGATTGGTGCCCGGTGGCGGTGAGGAGCTCCGCATAGTCCTAGGACGGCAGGACGAGGGCGACACTGTAGAAACCAGGGGTCGGAGCCCCAGCGTGATCTGCCCCTTCGTTGAGCGGACGGGGCCTCACGTTCACGAGGCCACTGGAGGGCACGTACATCTGCGTGACGGGTGCGCAGACCGTGGTAAGGCGTTGGCCGTGCGTGAGGGCCGGTCCTGGGGCTAGTTCAGGCTCCCCAGTCCAGGCGGGCTCCCGTCCCTTGGTTCTCCAGTTATCCTTTTCTGGGCTCTGATCTGCTCTCTGGCCATGTCCATAACTGCGTCTGGATATGTACTGTTACTCTGTCCTGACATGCTGTAGCATTTAGGAAGGCTCTTAAAGAATTGCCTATTTTTGGCCTATCTAAGAACTTATTTTTTTCTCCTGGGTTAGTGACTTGTTCAGGATCACAGTTTGGTAGTGGTGGAGATTATGTCGTTACCTCTAAGAGTCATATCTTCCTAACTCCTTAGCCGGTACTATAATTTTCCACGCAAGTAAAATCAAGTTTCGTAGAAGAGGTCCTTTTGAGAAACAGCAGCAAAGATCAGTTAAAACAGACCTGTCCTTAGAACTCCACTTTTTATAGCTCTTGGGGGAGTTACTAGGCAAAGGTTTAGTAACATTAGTAGGAAAACTTATAAGGAGCTTAGCCCTGAGTGTTTTTTACAGCAGTTTTGGTGAAGAGTTGATGTTTCTTCATTTGGTGTATGGTTATTTGTTTTAACCAATTTTGTCATGTAAAAGATTTTGTGAACACCAAAGGAGATTTGAACTCTTAAAAGTTACTAGGAAGCAAATACTACATTCTTTTAGTGAAAAATTTATGCCCAGGAGCTACATGATTATACTAGAGTCATGTTACATCCACCTGTATTTTGTGAAGGTCCAGGGGACATTGACATTCTTCCTATCTGGTGTGTGTGTATAGCTTTTATAGGGCCAGGAAATTCAGGGACTGCCAGGCCGGCCAGATCTTTCATGATCCCATTCCTCTTCTTCTAACCCAGCATTCCTTCAGTTGTGTACGTCTTTCGAAGAACACCAGAAAATGAGCAAATCCCAGGTAAGTTGTTTGTTCATTCCTTACTTTATTTTACAATGGATTTTGTGAAATTTTTAGAAAGAGTTCGTAAGTTAGGAAGGGAAATTAGTAATGGATAAAAATCAAACTTCACAGAAAATACAGAGTAACAGATCAATAGCAGGGCTATGTTGGCTTGTAGTTATATACTGATCATTACATTGTAGTTTTTAAGTTTACCTGGAGATATGTCTCTGATGTTTCCAATAATCAGAAAGGGAGACTGTACTTTTGGGTACAGACAGACTGATTTCTTTCAAGACAAAAAGACTTCCTAGATGGTAACTTTTTTGGGTTTAACATAGGAACATAGTGAATAACCTTCCAGTGACAGTCGTGGAGTGAGTGCTTAAAACTACCTCAGTGGGAGTAAAAGGGGAAAAGAGATGGTTCAGGCAGCCAATTTTATAGTGGTCTTGTTTGATCCTGATGTGAAACCTAGTATATTTAGAGGAATGAATGGCCTGCATGCTTCTTACAGGAACTCTCCATAACTAATTTATTTTAGCCAGGTGTATATATCGATGGTCCAATGGTAAATTCTCTGGGACCTGAGCTTCCCAGTCAAATTTTATCCTAGAGTATTCTGCCTTGGCTCTTCCTCTCCATTTTTCAGAATCTATCCATGTGAAGTTCCTGAAGATGTAATTGTAGTTGCTTTCCTTGAACAAGTGCTGTATTTCTCTACTGAGTTCTCTCTTCTGGGAAGTCTCCTTTATCCAATTCTGAGAGCACTTTTCTGAAGACTCTTTCTTGGAGTTCTTCTCATTGTGCCCCCTAGTTTGGTTCTAAGTTTTCATCCTTTGCCTACCAGTTTTCTAGTTTTATCTCTATATGCACATTAAAAATATATGTAGATAGTTGAACAATGCTTTTTGTTTTGAGTAGTTTTTAAAAGTATGTAAATTATCTTAATGTATATACATTTTCTCCCTAATTCACCAGTAAGTTGAGATTTGTCCATATGTAATTCATTCCATTTGATACTGTATTTTTTTCCATTGCATGGCTACACTATATTCTAAATACCACATTTTATTGATTGGCATTTAGGAAATTTCCATTTTTCACTATTACAAGCAATGCTGCTATGAATGCCCTTGTTGTTATGTCTACACAAATGCAAGTGTATCTCTAGACTCTAGAGCAGTTTCTCAAAGTGAGGTTCTTTGGCAGGAAGCATCACCTGGAAACGTGTTTGCAATGCAGATTCTCATGCCTCATCCCAAGCCAATTGGAAGAGAAGTTCTAGGCGTTAGTCTGTTTTAACAAGGTGTTCATGTGATGCTGATACCCACTAAGTTTAAGGACCACACTGCCTTAGAGTCCTGTGACTAATATTTCTGAATCATAGGATATGAGGGTTTCTGATTTTTCTAGGTACATTGTTGTTCATTAGATGACTACTTTTCCTCCCTCCTTTCTCTATATAAATATTGTTTCTATGCTAATATGGAAAAAATAATTAATTTTCATTTTTCTGTTTATTGAAGTACAGCTTTCATAAATTATGGTTTTTCAGGTTGTTTTCTTCTACTGAGTTTTGTAAGAATTCTCTGTTTCAAATGGCAATCTTTTCATTGTTACTAATGATCTTCTCTCAGTATGCATTTTGTCTTGTAAGGGTATCCTTTCCAAAACTTTAATATTGTGATACAACCCTTTTGTGTCTTGTATTTTTGATTCTTGTTTTTCTTACCTCAGGGGCCCAATTAAACTTTTCTATATTTTGCCTAAAATTTTTTTTTTAATTTAAAACTTAAATTAAAACACTTAAATTAAAAAAATATATTTCTTAATCCATGTGGAATTTTTTTTAATGTGATGAAAGGCTCTAATTTTATATTTGTCCATCTGTAAAAAATAAGCAGCATGATAAAAGGATAACACTCCTGACCAAGGACCTACCAGACAGATCTGAATGGGAATGCCTGCCATGTTTCTTCATCATGCATACTGCCTGCTTTGGACTTAGATGGATTTTGTCATGGTCACAAAGTATCTCCTGAGCCTTATTTTATTAAAAATGAGAGTTTAATTTTTCCAAATGCCTTCTTAACATTTTTATGGGGATGATGATATGATTTTTCTTTTTAGATCTGTTGAACTACATTTCCACAATACTTAATCACTAATCTTTGTGTTCTGAAACAAGCCCCAGTTGATTGAAAGTGTTCTTTTAATGATCTGCATAATTCTGTTTTTTTGTATGGACATTTCTTTTGTAAACTAGTCTATAGTGTTCTTAAAAATGTTTAATCTGTTCCTTTTTATTCCTAATAGTGTTTCATTTGTGCCTTTAAAAAATTTTTTTGGACTATTTTTATCACAGGTATTTTATTAGTCTCATAAGGAAACAGTTTTTGGTTTCATTGATTTCTCACTATAGTTTTCATTAATTTCTACTTTTACCTTTATTCCTTCAGCTATCTTTGGTTAGAGACTGTTTTTTTTTTCTAACATTTTGTTGAAAGTGACTTTATTTATTTAGTATTTGCATTTAAGGATATAATTTCCCTCTATTTGCCACTGTACCTGCAAAGCCCAATTATCAACATGTAGTGCTTAATTTTGTTTTTTTTCTACGTTTCATTTTCTTTTCTGATGCCTTCTTTGGTCAATAAATTAAGTGTATTTTATTTCTATATGCATAGTAGATATATAGAAAAGTCCATAGGTCTTAAGTATGGAGCTGAATGAGTTTTTACAAATCCAGTGTACATAACTAACACATAGGTCAAAACAAACATTCTAGCACTCCTAAAATTTCCTTGTGCCCCTCTCACAATCCCTAATACCACCATGCTGTTTCATTTACATAGAATCTGTGGCTTCAGTGGTGGAGTTGAGTGGTGAAGTGACAAGACCATCTGGCTCTTAAAGCCTTAACTATCTACTGTCAGGCTCTTTACAAGGAAAAGTTTGCCAATCCCTAGATTAGTTTGTTAAATTGTTAGTGTGTTGGTATTATTTAACCAATAATTGCTTAAAATTAATTTTTCTACTCCAAGGCCATGAAGATAATCTCCTTTGTTATTTTAAAAATATTTTTTGTTTTGGCTTTCACATTTATGCCTATTTTAATGGAATTGATGTTTACTTTTGTAGGAAGTAGACATCAGGTTACTTTTTTCCAATATGAGTTACCGAGAGTCATTTTTGAAAAAGACTATTCTCACTTTTGTAGTGTGATACATGTCATAATAATGTATGCATCTATGTCTGGGTCTTTCTTGGACTCCACTCTGTTCCATTCATTTATTTGTCTCTTCTTATGCCAGCATTTAATATATATGTTTAGTGATATATGTCCTTCCACATATTTTCTTCTTCAGCCAGAACCTGGCTCCCCTTGGCCCTTTGCATTCCCATATAAATATTGCTAGTATTCACAAAATAATCTGCTGGGGCTTCTTTGGAATAGAATTGAATCTATAAATAAATTTGGAAAAAATTGCTTATTTTTGGATAGTGAATTTTTAAATCCATGAACAGGTATATTTCCTACATTTATGTAAATCTGTAGTTATTTAAAATTTGTATAGAATCCTTGCACACCTATTGCTAAATTATTTCTATTATTTCTATTTATTAATATAAATATAACTTAAATTTTACCTCCTAGTTTATTGTGATAAGGTGTTTTTTTAGATATTGACCTTGTATCCACCAATTTTCTCCACTAATTTATTACAACAAATAACTTATCTCTATCTTATTTAAATTTTCTGTATATATAAATATGTAATCTGGGAATGAAGTTCCTATTTATCTCTTCCAATTCTTAATCCTTTTTTTCTGTATTTTGTGTTGCTAGATCCTCCAATATACAATATTGAGTAGAAGCAAGAGTCGGCTTCCTCATCTTGATTGTGTTCTCAAGGGGAAAAATTTCTTTTCAATGTGATTTTTGCTGTTTGTTTGTTTTTTTAATTTTTTATCACATCAAAGATGTCCCATTCTATTCCTAGTTATTAAAAGTTTTGTCTTTTTTTTTCATGTGTGCCTGTTAAATTTTATTAAATGGTTGTTAACATCTATTGAAATCATATGCTTTGTTTCCTTTGTTTTTTAAATTGGTGAATTACATTAATTTTCAAATGTAGAACTAACTAGATATCCCTAACATTAATCTGAGTCATGTTATACTTTCTATATATTACTGGCTTTAGTTTGTTAATATTTTGCATCTCTGTCTATGAGAGAGATTGAGTTGTAAGTTTTTTTAGAGTATTTGGCTGTATCTCATAGGTTTTGATGTGTTGTATATTTGATAATTCATTAAAAAAGTTTTTCTCTTCTCTGTTTAGAAATGTAGCTCTTAATTTGTAAACATTGGAAAATTTTCTACTTAACCTTTCTGTTACTAATTGCTATCTTAAACACTGTAAAAAAAATATTCTCTGTATAATGCCAAATCTTTGAAGTTTGTTGAAATCTGCTTTGTTGCCCAAACTGTGGTCAACTTTGGTACAAAAGGTCTGTGTGGATTTGAGAAGTATGTTCTGCAATTTGGGGTGCGTTTTTCTCCTTTGAAGTTAATGTTTCCTTTATTTTTGGCTGCTTTGTTTTCCATTTATCTTCAGTCTTCTTTATAGTATTCAGTTCTCTTTGTGAAATCCTCCATTTTGTCATCTTTTCCCCTTCATCATTTTAATCATAGTTGCTAACTCCATTTCAGATAATTCCAGTATCTGTAGCTCCTGTGTGTCTAACTTTGAATTTTTGGAAAAAATATACTAGGTCTTTTTTTTTTTTTTGAACACCTGTCATGGACTGTTTTAAGTGTTTGGAGTACATATTGTGAACAGAGTAATCTGCTTTTCTGGAAGCTGTTTGGAATCTGGAGTGTGCTGGTTGAACATGCTGAATTACTCTTTTAATAGACTATTGTGAATTGGGTTTGCCAAAGTTTCTTTAGAATATTGGTATCAGAATTAAATGTGAAATGTGAACTGTTCTTGAAAAATAGTATTGGTATT